CCCTTCTTCCCTCCCTCTCCCCCTCCCTTCTTCCTTCCCTCCCTCCCTTCTTCCCTCCCTCTCCCTCTCCCCCTCCCTTCTTCCCTCCCTCCCTCCCTCCCTCCCTTCTTCCCTCCCTCTCCCTCTCCCCCTCCCTTCTTCCGGCCCTCTGTCCCTCACCGACTCCCACTCCAGGTTAGGACCTCAGATCCGGGTGACGGAAAGAACTGCTAATCACAAAACAGCAGGCTGAGGGCAAGCCCCAGAATTGGAGTTTTAAAAGACATCCATGGTGACTGATGGGATGGCAGCTCGGACTGAGCTAATTCCTGCCTTAAAAGAATTTCTGGGCAAGGAGCGTCTGGAGCAGAGAGTGAAGCCACTGCCTGCAGTGCCAGCATCTCATGTTCGAGTCCTGGCTGCACCACTTCTGATCCAGCTCTCTGCTATGGCCTGGGATAGCAGCGGAAGATGGCCCAAGTCCTTGGGCCCCTGCACCCGCATGGGAGAACCAGAAGAAGCTCCTGGCTCCTGCCTTCAGATTGGCACAGCTCCAGCTGTTGTAGCCATCTGGGGAATGAACCAGCAGATGGAAGACTGACTCTCTCTCTCTCTGCCTCTACCTCTCTGTAACTCCACCTTGCGAATAAATAAATAAATCTTTAAAAAATAATAAAATATATTTCTGTTAGACCTACTGTGTGCCAGGCTTGTTCCAAGTGACAGGAATCCTGCGGTTAGCAAAACCGCCCATGCCTTGTTTCAGTGAAGCTCGTGTTAGGCGAGTGAGGACTAAGGTATCACACAAAACACACAAACGTAGGGCGAGTCAGGCAGCAGTCAGACCTGTGAAGAAAAATCAACCGGACAAAGCAAGGAGAGACGGTTACAGGTAGGAGCGCTGCTCTGTCAGCCAGGGTGGCCACGAAGGCTTCTAGGACACGGCGGCATCCGAGCCACGACTTAAACACAGACAGAAAGGAAGCCATGTGGATATGGAGGGGACACAGGGAGAAGAACATTCCAGAGAAAACCACGGTCACAAAGGCCCAAGGGCAGGTACCAGATTTTAATCTTTGGAGGTGAACAAGTGACAGCATGGAAAAGTGGACGCCTTGGGAAATTCACATCTTACAGGTTCTGAGGAGGGAACGCACCACGTCACACAGCCTGGGGCGGGAGGGGAGCAGGACACTGTCCACAGCCCCGCTGGGCTTTCTGGAGAAGGCTGGGGCTCCTGTGAGTGCACGGGTCGACTTTAGGCTCTTGGGGCTGTCTCCCGTCGCCTGGCCCTTGCCCCAGATGACTCAGAGCAGGAAATACTGACAGGGTGCAAGTCAGGTAGGAAGGCCCAGAGCACGGGGTGCGCAGGTTAGGAAGGCCCAGAGCACGGGGTGTGGATGTCAGGGGAGGTAGCTGGGCTCTCTGATAAGGGGCTGCAGACACAGAATCTGAGGAGCCAGAAACGGTCACGCAGGTCTTGCAGACCTTGCTAAATTCCTACCGTGTGCAAGCTGGACATGCCTGGGAGAGGCAGGACCCCCTGCTCACCACAGACCAGGCCACCAAGTGGGGTCGAGGGCGACAGTGCGCAGGTGAGCACCAACTCCGAGCTGCGACTCCATTCCAACTCCTCCTTGAGATCTTTATGTTCCAAATCTGCAGGCGTTTGTACAACTGGCTATCAGTTACATCAGATTAATCCCAGTGCTATTAAACACATCTGTCTTTTAATTCAAGTCCTATTTTTGTTGCTGTAATAAGGAAAATAATAGCAGAACTTGTACCAACAGACTTTCTAGAAAAAGATGTATGTTGGCCATGACGTCACAGAGAGCCTATTCATTCTGGCCCTAAATTCTCACTGTGTAGGGGTGTTCCATGGGACTGCTGCATACTCATGTCAAGGACAACTTAAGGTGCACCCTGCAAACCTGGAGATGAGCGCGCTGGCTCCCCACCTCTTAGTGTTTCCTCATTTTCCCTGCAAATGAAAACCACAGCAGTCATCCAAAGGCAAGGCAGTGAACAGGCAGAGCTCGTGTGTGAGTCCTGGGAGGGAAAACTTCCCCTTCCGGGCACTGTGTTCTATTTTATTTACCCTGCTGAGAAATCAGTGTTTACCTAACAATTGCCTTGGCTAAAATGACAAGGAAATGCACCTGTAGATTCAGTCCCAGAAAACTCAGAATTTGCTTCATTCAGCAAGTGTTGGTTGGGCACCTGGAGTGTACCTGGCACACCACAGTGCTGAACGAGACACACCTGCTCCCCTCCTCACGAAGCTGAAGTCCAGTGAGGGAACCGACAGGAAGAAAGTTCAACACCCGATGCGCATACAGCAACTCCTGCAGGGAACGCAAAGAGAGGGGAGTGCGCTTTATACCACAGAAGAGGGAGCTAAGGAGCCCTCCTTGAACTGTTGCTTGAGGGTTAAAAACCTGAGGTTTGCTGTTGGTAGCATAAACAATAAAAAATAAATAAAAATTTAAAAACCTGAGGCTTGCAACGCCTGCATCCCTTTAGGAGTGCAGGCTGGAGTTCTGGCTGCTCTGCTTCCTATCCAGGTCCCTGCTAAAGCACCTCGGAAAATAGCAGACGATGGCCCAGGTGCTGTCATGTGGAGTTCCAGACGGAGTCCTAGGGTCCTGGCTTCTGCCCGGCCATTGCGGCCACCTGGGGAGTGAACCAGCAGATGGAAGATCGATCTCTCTCTGACTGTCTCCTTCTGTCACTCTGCCTTTCTTTTTTTTAAGATTTATTTTATTTATTTGAAAGACAGAGTGACAGGGAGAAGTAGAGACAAAGAGAGAGGGAGGGAGAGAGAGAGAGAGAGAGAGGTCTTCCATCCGCTGGTTCACTCTCCAAATGGCTGCAACGGCCAGAGCTGAGCCAATTCGAAGCCAAGAGCCAGGAACTTCTTCCGGGTCTCCCATGTGGGTGCAGGGGCCCAAGGACTTGGGCCATCTTCTACTGCTTTCCCAGGATGTAGCAGAGAGCTGGATACCAAGTGGAGCAGCCAGGACTCAAACTGGTGTCCATATGGGATTCGGGCGCCACAGGCGGAGGATTAGCCAAGTGAGCCACGGCGCTGGCCCAGTTGTAGCATTTTTGACTCTGTCTGGTCTGGATGAATGCTGAGGAAGCAAGCACTGGTTTTCAGACTAAAGGGCCCAAGCCCTCCAGGGGGAAGATCTGATTCTCCCCATCGAACATGTGGTGCGGTGGGCAGAGTCCCAGCAGGCAGTCTCAGTGCTGCCCCTTCTGACCTCTCGACTGACACACGTGGTCAGCAGGCTCCCTCGTGGACGACCACCTCAGCCAGGGCCTCCTCAGCATGGCGTGTGCAGCCCCCACGGTGAGTTTTGTTCACAGCAAGGTCTGCTGTGGCTGGGGTGCAGCGTAGGGCCGCATTCTAGCAGCTCCCAGGCGGTGCCAGTGCTGCCCAAGGTCACGCCGGCGGAGGGAAGAGTCGTCCTGGCCTCCAGAGCCTGAGAAATTTGTGTTTGCTGTTGCAGCCCCTCAGGCTGCCGGGCACTGACCACAGAGGTCGCGGAAGTACCGAGTCACAACACCTAGGCAATTTTCTGCCTCATGACCCATCCCCAGAACCAGAACACAAAGCACAGGCAGAGCCTGGTGTCCAGCACCTGGACTCTGGATCCACGGGGCCTGAATTCCATCCTCAGCTCTGACGTGTCTGAGCTGGTAACCTTGGGCAAGCCAGCCGGCCCCTGGGGCCCTTCCTCCCCTGCAAAGAAGGGTAGCGCCAACTCAGAGGGGCAGGTGCAGACGGCGCAGCATGGGAGACCACAGGGGAGGGACAGACGACACTCGCAGTGTGTGTGCCTCATGCCATACACGGAGGGAGCGGGGCCCAGCCCTCGGACTGCCTTTGCTCTTCACTCTGTTTCTTCAGTCTCTTCGAAGTGAGAATAGCAAAACAAAAGGTAAGATGGAGACAGTTTGAGATGCCCGCTTCCCCACATCGGGGGGGCCTGCATTCCAGTCTCTCCTGCTAATGCAGACGCTGGCAGGTGGCAGTGATGGCTCAAGAAATTGGGTCCCTGCCACCCACGTGGGAGACCTGAATGAGTCCAGTTTGGGCTGCTGTCTGGCATAGCCCTGCCAGCCCCAGCCATTGGATGCCTCTGAGGCTGAAGCAGCAGCTCCCTGTCTCTGTCTCTCTCTACCACTCAGATAGAAAATATCATAAACCATCCATGTGCAGAACTGGTTTGAATCCAGATTTCAAGAAACAATGGCTACAAAGACATGTTTGAAACACTTGAGAAATTCTGAAAACGGATTCACTGTCAAATATTAAGAAATTATAAATTGTTAAGTGTGATAATGGCACAGTGATCATATTTTTAAAAAATGAGTCTTTAGCATTAGAGACTGATATGGAAGGACCAGGCCACATCGTCTAGCATTGCCTTCACTTGGACAGTGCGACCACAAGAACAGCAGTTCCATGCAGTTCAGTGTTAAGGGGTGCAATAATGTGGTGTCTGGGACTTTCTAGTCTGGGAGGGCAGACGGTGACAGAGGCGTGTCACCTGCTGGCGTGGAGAACACAGGGCTCCCCCCGCCATTCTCTACTCAGGTCTGTCTGAAACTTCCCATCACAGCATAGTTTTCAACTACCTCACAGTGTTCGGCGTGCATTCCGACTGCAAGTTTGCACGCACAGCCTCAAGTGAAAGGAACCCAGTTCAATCCTGCTTAAACAAGACTCACCTGAGCTGGAGGGCCGGAGGAGCTGCTGTCGAAGGGCGGGTCCCTGCCTTGAACCCCTCGAGGCCTCTGTCGCCATTTGACGCGTGCTTATCCAGGCAGAGGGGTAGAGAGCTGTCTGTTAGGAGGCCCAGGTCCTCAAGCTTTCTGCTCACAAACAGCAAAAGATCTCGCCCCCACCAAGTCCCAGGAGCCCTGCTTGGCACACAGGAGGTCCTGTGCCTTCTCCTTAGGGCAATCACTGGTGGGGGATGGGAGGGACTGAACCTGCCTCCCTGTACCCCCACAGGTGAGGAGGGAGAGCAGGCGCCGGGTCAGCAGGGCTCCACCCCCGAGACCTGATCTGCAGGCCTCACCTTCCAGTGTCCTCCCCGTGGGGGTTAGGAGCGCCACGTAAACCAACCCACAGCCATGGAGAAGAGGCAGCCAGGATGGTAAATGGTCCAGGTGAGGGGCTGCACCGAGGGCCTCGGGCAAGTGGTCTGGGATGGAGGAGGGGCATGGGCCGCTTTCCCTCACGTTCCTGTCACAGCCCTCAGCCTGCCTGGGTGGGTGTACGGCTCTCACGATTCAGGGGAGCAGCGCGGGCTGAGCTGCCTGAAGCAGGGGCCAACCCAGTAAGGTTTCTGGCTGGCTGCGCCAGCAATCGGATTTCCAGCAGTCTGTGATCACAGATCGTGTCTTCTTCCTTCCAGGTGTTGAATTAATTCCACACCAACTCCCCCATTCAATTTTTACTTTAAAGTTTAAAGGGCCAGTTGTAAGGACTGCAAAAAAAAGAAAAAAAAAAGCAGGCTTGCTCAGGTCCCCCATCCCCCCCCACCCCCCACCCCCAGAGGCAGCCTGCTTCTACCCTGAACTGGTTCTCTGGTTTTATTTCCACGAATCACGAATCCAGAGGGCGTCCTTAATCACTGAACTCGCGTCTTCACTTTCAGGCATGGCCTATGGATGTCTACAGAGATGGTCCTTTCACACACACCCACACTCCTCTTCCACTCACCCACCAGGTTTATGCGGATTAGGCCCACGCTCCCCAGGGTCCTGGCAGACCACTCACCCACCAGGTTTATGCGGATTAGGTCCACAGTTGACGTCTCCAGTTGTCGCCAGGAACAGCGTCTCCAGCTGGCCTGCAGTGGCACATTTTGTTCTCCTTACAGCTCATATTTTTTTCCTGTGGAAATTTAGTTCCCAATTCTCCGAGGGTCTAATTTGCCTCTGAATGAATTTGTTTAGACTTATGGGGTTTTCCATGGCTTCATCAGCCTGGGGAGAGCTCTGAAGCCGCTGGCCCCCTCTGCTCAGAGCTGCCTGTGGGTGCTCAGCCCCTCCCCACCCCACCCCGCTGCCCGCGGGGTCTCAGATCTCCTCCTGGGTGTCCCTTTACCTTCTGTCCATGCTGGACTCTGTTTGCTGCAGAAATTTCCTGACTCACCAACAACTAGTTGTAAAACTGGTCAATAATAACTCTCACTTAAAAAAAAAAAAAGTAGGCAATAAGATTAAGTCAAGTCATGAGTGAAGATTCTCGTGATGACCCTCACCTGTCCCATATGGCTACTTGGAACAAAGGAACAGGAAACCTCTAAGAATGGGTGCAAATTTCCCCCAGCAGATATATTTTGCTGAGTATTCCTGGCATTTTTTAAAAAAGTATCCAGCCTTGATTGAAGCAGACACGTGGAAGCACTTGTGAGACAACACTGAAATCCTCCTTGTACATGGCATGCTGCTAACGGCCTGACCCAGTGAGGAGCCAGAGTGAGACACTTGTTTCCATCACTGACCTTTTAGGACGCTGAAATGCTCACGAGAAAGCCCAGCCGAGCAGAGGCTGTCTTCCCACCACGCACCTTTGTTCACAGAATCACACGAAGGTCTGAACTCCAGATTTCACCCCACAGTTATAGGCGAGTTGCATCCCTTGAAATTCACTTCTTTCCATTATAGTTATAAAAATCATGCCTAATAAGGCTGCAAAGTGGTAGAAAATAATTTTAGGAGGACTTATAGTTATCAAAAAAGATCAACAGTCGATACTGAAAAAATGTACAGAGAGTGCTTCTAGGACAGAATGTATGAAATATTTCTGGGAGCGAGAATTTGGAGCAGCAGTTATGCCTCTGCTTGGGATCCACGCACACCATATTGTAGTGCCTGGACCTCAGACTATATAGTAGGTTAGGATTAGAAGCAATGTATGCTCATTGTGAAATTTGGTATTTAAAAAGATTTAATTAATTAATTAATTAGAAAGGCAGAGCTACATTGAGAGAGTGAGCGAGCAAGCAGGAGAGACAGTGAGAGAAATCTCATTCCTGGTTCACTCCCTAGATGGCTGCAACGGCCAGAGCTGAGCTGACTCGAGTTAGGAGCCAGCAGCTTCTTTCAGGTCTCCCATGTGGGTAGCAGCAGCCCAAGCACTTGAGCCATCTTCTGCTGCTTTTTCCCAGGCACATTAGCAGGGAACTGGATCAGAAGTGGAGCAGGCAGGATTTGAACTGGTGCCCATATGAGATTCTGGCACTGCAGGCAGCAGCTTTACCTGCTATGCCATAGTGCCAGCTCCATAATTAGGTACTTTCTAAACACTAACTTGGCCTCACACTTATATTGTTGAAAGATGATTTTCTGGAGGGAATTCCTCCAGCATTTCTCAGCCAGCAGTCCAGAGCAGTGCCTCCCTTTGGAGCCTGTGAGACTCCAGGCCCACCTCTGCAGAAGAGTGCGCAGAGAAGCAACCTGTTCTTAACAAAGCCCTCCTGGTGACTGGTGCAGATTCCGGCCTGCAAACCACTGTCCCAGCAAACGCTGTATACGTTAGGGGTCACCTTCAGCTGTTAGGTACACATAGCAAGCTGTTTCTGGCATAAAAGAACACTGGATGTAGGCAGTCTAGGATGATTCAAATGTCCTATTTTTCCATGTGCTCTCTCCACATACATACATACACACACACACACACACATCTTTTTACTGCCATATGACTTCCAGCCTTATGGCTTTTAAATGGCTGCTATTCCAAACATTCTACGTTGCAGAAGAAAGTAAAGAAACGGGTAAGCAAACCAGGGCACATTCGCAGATGCCCAGGCTTCTGCTTGCAACTCATCTGCCACCCTGGGCTGAAAGGGAGGCTGGGAATTAACAGAGGGTCATCCCGTTGCTCAGAATAAAGCCAGAGAAACCAGGGAGAGTGGAGACAAGAAGGAGCTAGCAGCCTCTCAGTGCTTCCTGGGATGCAATCTTCAAAGTTAAACCTTCGAGAATATTATACTGAAATAGTTCTTTACTAAGCATGCATTAAAAGACAGCTTTGTTTTTACATGAAAGTCTACATCCTTGCTTACTAGCTCATCAAACCCATTACAATTTCACACTGCTCTGGAAATACTAACAAGTGAATCACAGAACAGGAAGAAATGCTACATGAAAATAAAGAACAAATTTTAAAGGAAAAAGTACATCTTGAGGAAATGACGTCAGGATAGGAGGAGCTCTAGGGGCAGGGCTGTTCACAGCAGTGTTACTGACAACAGGTAACAACACAACTTCAGCAGCTTCCAATCCAGCGTCCTGCAAGGAAGGAACCACTGCGAATCAGGCCGTGGCCTTCCTCAGCCTCACTACCACGTCACAACGTGGCAAAGCTGTTGTTAATATCCTGGCAGTGGGAAGAGACAAAAAAAGTGAATTGCATAAAACGGAAGAGTGTTCAGAGAACTCACTGGAGAACGAATACACACGATTTCTGTTTAATTCCTTTATTGTTCTATAGGAAACAATAGCAACATTGACCAACATAATAAGTAAATTTATCCAGGGTCCTAACTCTAATTCTTTCCTGGCGTGACTGATTGAGCCCAGGGGCTCCCAGAAGGAGGACTTTGGGGCTCTGAAGGGAGGCCGTATCCAAGGTCAGGTGTTGTCTTCCGGGGCCTTTCCATGCCCGTGTGGGTGGATTCTCCAGTCCTCTGTCCCCAAGCTGTTGGCATCACAGGAAACATCTCCCAGGAGTGAGAAAAACACACGAGTCTCCACTCCTTCTCTCTTGCAAAGCCTCCTGATCCATTTCACAAAACCAGAAGCCACCTGTCCTGATCTGGATGCAGACTTGTGGACACCAAAGGGAATGTGAAACCGTGGAGCTCCCTACATAGGACTCTCCAGTGTGCTGCTGTGAGCCACCCTCCCTCCGCCCCTCCTGGAAATTCATGTGGATCTCAGCCATCCACCTTGGCAAAGGCACTATGCAGACAAAGGAGAAACTTTTTGGAAACTGTCCACTGCAAAGCATGGGGACAGCGGTGCAGTCAGGCTCCAAGCATCCAGAGGCTTCTAACCACGGCAGTAGCTCCTCAAAGAGAGAAGAGAACCTTGGTTTTCCAGGACTGCAGGAGCTGAGATAAAGAGCTCAGCCTACCCTACTGAGAGCCAACTTCCTCCGCTCTCAGCTGAGCAAGAACTCTTATCTGGAAGATTAATCTTAGAGGAGAAACCAATCTGAAGGAGAAGGCAGACAGGGAACCCCTAGAGGATTCTTTGTGGCTCTGCCAAGTTAGGCAATTTAAGCTCTTGCGCCTGTGTTCTTTGCGGAATACACACCGAATTGCGTTACACTGAAATGAAGCTAACTCTGCCCTTCATATTCGAGCAGTGCCATGAGCCGAACACACCTTTGTGAGAAGCCAGCAAAACCATGAAAGCAAAGTTCATGAATTCCAGGGCTTTGGTCATTGGATCACATTTTATTTTACAACATCAAAGAGTTCACATCTAGCAGAATAAAAAATGAAACACCAACCTATTTAAAACTCCGATAGCTAGAAATGTATTTCAAAAGTGGTTGAAAAGAGGAGAGTCAGAGACCAGCTGATAAAAATATTTGAAAAAAAATCAAAACTCATTTCACCATCATAAACAAAAAAAAATACTTGTAGCATACATAAGGGTACACCCATTTCAAATTCCCGAAGCAGACGATCATTTTATTTTCCATGAAATGTGTAAAAAATACAATTGTATGTATGTATATCACATTCTGGTAGGCAAGAGAAATCTTCAAATTTAAATATATATATATATATTTCATTTAAAATAATCTAAACATTTACTGCTTCTCAGCCTTTTGGCTAAGATCAAGTGTAAAATCATCTAAACATTTAAAAAGTAGCAGCAATAGTCATCTTTAAATATGTATAATAATATAGTAGATTGTTCAAATCACATATTTTGGTAGCTCTTTCATTATTATTAATATCCACATACAACTTACATATGGCAAGGTCCTGGCCTACTCTCTAAATAATGTAGGAGTCTCGGTTCAATAAATACTACACAAAAAACAATTACAAAACACAGATGGCAAACATTTTCCAGATCAGGGGAGAATCAGGTCGGAAGGCATACAGTAATCTGCAGAATTACCAAGGCAAGGGTGAGACCCGCCAGCTCCCGGAAATGCTAGACTACATGTGTCCGGAGCCAGAGAAATAAGAAAAATGTCAAAATGGCAATAATGAAGTTGGAGTGCTGTCATATTTGACAGAATCTTTCCAAGAAAATGTATCATCCCTTAGCTCAGCAGCTCTACAAAGCAGAAGTACACTGAACCCACTGCAGAAAACTTACCTGTAACAGCGACCAGGCAACTCAGGGGCAAGGCTGATGTGTGACACTCTGAACTACTAGCCAGTTCCTGTTACTCTTTTAAATATGCATTTGACAGGCTACCCAGTTCTTATTTTCAAGCATTAAACCTGTTTTAAAGAAATAGTTGAACTGAAAAGGAGGCCACGGAGACCTTGTGTAACCTGATGCCTGCGGGGATCTTCTCCCAGCATCGCCTCCCTGGCTCACTCACACCCTGAATTCAACAAGCGAAGCAGGGGCACAAGGCAAGACGCTTCGGCAGGCAGGAAACTGACAATTCCTTGAGCTTTTCTGAGGCCACAGAGTCTCTCCTCACATTCAAATGGTCAGGAAAAATCTAGGAGACTTCATTACAAATGGAGTGAGGGTCCCTGTACATAGCAGTGTTCTGACATGGTGGTTTAACTCCAGAAGCACTCTTAGTAGAACCCTGATGGTCACATGGAGAAGGTGCTGAGTGTTGAGGGGAAGCCACAGGCTCCTGATGGTGCTCAGCTCACCACACAACCTGGTTTAATTCCCACGTGGTTTCTGAAAACAGTCAGGGGTTCAATACTCACCTGAACACTGAGTGGCCAGTTAGGACCCCTGATTTAGCTCAGTGAGATTACAAGGGGAGATGAGCACTAGAGAGCGCAACCAATGGCCACCCTACCAAGACCAGATCACCTCCTAAGCACCTTTCAAACTGAGCGGACCACACCCAGGCAGCCTGGCAGACGGCTGGGTGTACAGCCACCATGAACTCCGCTTATCAGACACCCTCCTACTTCCATCAGGTCTCACTACACAGATGTGACTGTGGGATTTTCTGAAGACAAAGAGATCCACTCTCTCTGTTGTTCTTCCAGCTTTTCTGCCAAGCACTTAATCAAAACAGGGTCCACCTTAGAATCAAATTTATTAGCAAACCAATGTCCATCTTTTATAAGCCACCTTAATTCTGCAGCTCCATAAATACACACACTTCGAAGGTGCGTTCCAGTGCAACTGGGGTAGAAAACCCCTTCGTAGTAATTCCACTTGACAAGGCGGGTCTTGCTCTGTAGGTCAGACACGTCCTGGGCTGACCTGGAAATCTCTCCAGGTACTCCTGGTACCCGAACTAAGGTCGCCCAAAAGTGCTCATCAGGCGAGTATGTGTCTTGAGACCAGGCAAAGAAGTCTGTAACGAGGGAGCTGTTGAAAATATAATTCACAAATGCTTGACTTAAAACAAAGTAGGCACTGCCGACAAATACCTCAATGTGGTGCGGGGGCGCCTGCTTGGAGACATTTGTCCTCACTGGTAGTCTCACGCTGTCGTGAGGCACCTGCCTGAGCTCATGGTGATAAGTGAACCTTTCCGTTTTGCTGTTTGGGGGTCTGACCGTCTCTAACATATTTGCTCCGTTGAGTTTCTTCAACTCTGACACTAACTCGAAATTGGACTTCAGGGGGAAATCTTGCCCACACAGATTGATAACGTATTTCCATTGAACTGAAGACTTGAGAAGGTCTGACAGGCAATTCAAGTCAGCTTGGAGTCTGGAAATGTGAGCGTACTGCACGGCCTCTAATCTGGAAGCAATGAAGACATTGGGGAAGCACTTCGCTAAATTCTTCATGGCGACTTGGAAGGCGTCAGGCGACTTGAGGTCGTAATGGATGCAGTAGACGTTGTGCTGGGCATATATAGCATGGAGAAGTCTCTCAACCATGATCGCATCTTTGTGCACAACCAAGGAATAGGCTACTGGGAAGCGTCTCTCCTCCCCTGACACGAGCTTCTGATGGTACCTCCTCAGAGAGTGATAGATGTCACAGTCACTCGTCATTGCCGCGACGTCATCATCCTCCAGGTCCACAATGTGTCTCCTTCTGATTTCCAGACTCTTGCCGACCTCCAGAGGCTCCTGTTCATAGATGGCTGAACAGTTAACTTCATGGCTGGCCGCGTCTTTAACATGGGTGTACCTGTTTCTCACAAAAGGCGAGGTACTGAGGGAGTACTCAACGATGTACAGGCCTTCTGGAGGGAAGAGAAGTCTCCCCACATTGAGCAGCTTCACCAAGGAGAACAGCCACAGGGTCAGAAACACGATGAAAACCTTATGCTGGAGAGGATATTTAAGACAACACCTGAGTACCTTCATTCTGTAAGAGGATAGGGAATGTCGATATTAATTAAGGACACTAAATATGAGGAGAAAATCAGCTCAATTTATCCAAAGGTTATTGGGTGCCTACCACATGCTTGGGCCCAGGCAGAACGCTGGGCCCAAGGATGAGTAAAGTAAGATTCTTTCCCTTGAAATAATCTAGAAATAAAGGGGTAGAATGGTGATATTCTGTTAACCCTGTTTCCAGAGATGTTGTTTACCAAGCAGAATGGAAGATAAACTCCTAAAATATAAACACAATCATCAGCTGGTATCTGTGGGGGATGGGTGCAGGACCCCGCTGAAGATGCCAAAGCCCAAAGATGTTCATGACCCTAGAGAGAACACCACAATGTTTACACCAAACCCACACACAGCTTCCTGTGTACTTTCAGTCCTCTCTGGATTACTTGTAACATCCAGCACAATGCCTACACTTGCTTCACATGCATGGATTCATCATAAACTTGGTGCAGGGCAAACTCAAGCTGTGCTTCTTGGAACTTTCTGGAAAAAAGTTTTCAAATACTTGCAATCCACAGTTGGTTGAATGTGCAGACATGGAAGCCATGGACATGAAGGGGCAGCTGCATGGCATCTGAAGAGGGACAGCTCCGGTTTGGGCAGAGGTGTGGAGAACTCCACGTCCTCAGAAGGCCCTCCCACATTCAAATGACCTGCCCAGGGCAGCACCTGTCCTGACTCCACTTCCCATCTGGCTAGGCAGGAGCCCACTGACTCCCACATTCAGAAATGAGAGCAGCAGGAAGTCGCTAGAGTAGACCCCAGAGACTAAAATGTGCTAATTACAAAAACTGGGCAAACTGCACATTTCTCTTAGTTTGTTTCGTTGGTACCCATTTCTTCACAGGGATTAGCTTAGCTCCTAAAATGAAGAAGGCCTGCCTTGATGGATGTAGGGGACTGTCCAGAGACTACAGTTTCGGGGCTCGTCTACAGCTTTGCAACCATCAGCAGGAACCTCAGCTTCGAGCCAAAGGGGATGGCGCCTGTGCAGTGTGCTTGGGAGTGGTGGGAAGCCGAGACCCCACCGACTGGGAGCCGGCAGCAGGGGGCCCCTCAGCACAGCTGCTGTGGGGCCTGGCAGGGGTGGTGGGCAGCAGCGGGCATATTTCTGCCAGTGTGGCTCTGAGGGGCGTGACAGTTGGCCAGGTTTCAAGCTTGGGTCATGAGCGATGACCTCATCATACACTGTGCCAGAGGAGTGGAGAGGAATGTCCGGCTCAAGGAGTTCAACTGCAGGGCATCCCGGTGGGGAGGACGGTGCTGGGACCTCGACGTGAGACCGAGACTCAGAGACTCGGAGAGCAAGAAGAGTGCAGGAGCAGGACGGGCTGGGATCAGGAGCCCAGGGCAGCTCCCTGAGGGGGCACCCGTGGCCACGCTGGGCCGGGCTCTGCAGCGTAGTCTGTGGTCGCTAAGGTGCTAGTAAAGAAGCCTGCACCCACAGGCAGAATTGGGTGCTTCGGTCAATAAGTCAAAGATGACCCAAGCCCAGAGCATGGTAACCAAGCACAAGGAGGAGACAGCTCACATAAAGGCTACAATTAGAATGAGTCTTACCCACGGCAGACGAATGCTTTTTCTTTTCTTACCTTGTTGGCCCAAGGACTACCTAAATTACCCTCAGTTAATGAAATGAAAAGACCTGGTATTTCTGGAGGGTCATCAGTTCTCCCAGAGCTCTCCTGCCATTTGTGAATTAGCATTTAATGACCATCTGCACACAGAAGGACACAGGCAGGCTCCCTCCCATCATCCACTCCACCCAGGAGTCCCTGCCCTTTATGACTTCAGCCTGGGGCCAGGAGTTTGAGCTGGGCGGGAGGCCATGGGAAAGGAGAGGTAGGGCTGGGAGAAGGCCCCTGGGACTGGCTCGGCACCCGCACTTGAAATTCCCAGACTGGGATGAGCGTCAATTTGGAAGGAAGAGGGCAGAGCCCAGGCCCTCAATTCTGGTCCATCTTGTTCTGCCCCAGGCATCGCTAAGGCAGAGTGAGGGTCTGCCTGGAAGCCAACCTTTCGCACCCCTCAAAGCAGCAGCAAAAACCCCTGCCCCTCTCACCAAGGCCAGAGTCCCGTCACTGAGAAAACACCCGTTTGCCCAAGTGAGGAGGAAAAGAGGGGGTGGCACAATGACCTTTGGCATGAGTGAGTCTCTGGCAAACCCGGAAGGGGCCGTGGCCTCTTCCCAGCCACCAAGGGAAGGAATTCCGAGAAGACCAGGGGTCGTCCTCCTGGGCTGCGCCCTCCCAGTGAGCTTGGCACAGCCACAGGTGCAGGGCCGGAGGCATCAGGGCAGGTGCAGCCACCACAGCCCAGGCCTGTGAGGCCCCAGAGGCTGCAGGGCTGGGGCTGGGAAGCAGCTCCTATGGCCTCATGCGCGCAGGACTGAGGCTGGCGGCTCCGAGGAAGCAAGCTGGCCACGCGTCCTCTGCGAACACCCACCCTGCCGGCAGCGGGCGCTGCATGGCCAGGAAGGGGCTCTCCCCTCCCCCGGAGCAGGCAGATGAGTCGCCCTGCCGTGGAGCTGACGGCCGCGTGAGAACCAGTTCCCAGTGGAGACAGCGGAACAGAAATGAACATGACAGCAAGGTCTGCAGCTGTCGCTGGGTGAAACTGGGGGAGCTTCGCACTGGAAGCAGGCCAGACTAACGCCATCCCACAGCGCCTGCCCAGCACGCACACACTACACAGAACAGGGTGGAAGACGCTGGCAACAGACACTCGTCGCTGATGACAAGATCCAGGTTTAGATAAAGACAAGCTGGAAAGGGCTCCACTGGGACTGCCCCAGCCTTCACGGTAACTAACGTGGAACCATCACTTTGTTCCTTGCAGATAATGCATTAAGGACATACAAACACCCCGGACCTCAGCCGCTTTCTACCAGCCCCTCGGATCGTACTGCTTGGAGCTTCCTTTCTTCTTAAGTAAGACTTCTCTTCTCTCACCGTTGTGTACAGTCTTGTAAATCATCATCGACACCAGGACATGAACCTGGACTCATCTCAGTTTTCCTGCAACATAATAAAGTCTGTAATGGTGGCCGGCATTGTGGCGTAGGGGGCTACGCTGCCACTGCAGCACTGGCATTCCATATGGGCACCGGTTCAAGTCCCAGCTGCTCCATATCTGATCCAGCTCCCTGCTAATGTACCTGTGAAAAAAGAGGAAGTTGGCCTGACTGCTTGGGACCCTGTATCCACAGGGGAAACCCAGAAGAAGCTCCTAGCTCTTGGCTTAGGACCAACCTAGCTCTGGCTACGGTGGCCATTTGTGGGGTAAATCAGCAGATGGAAGATCTTTCTCTCTTGATCTCTCTCTCTTTGCCCCTCCTTCCCTCCCTCAGTAACTCTGCCTTTCAAGTAAAATAAATAAAGTCTGCAATAATTCAGTACAAGCCACTCCTCCATCTCTGAAGTCCCAACCAGGATGCTGAATGAAACATTTCCCCCAACCATTTCGTTTCCCCAAGTCTCCCAGGTGTCCTCAGAGCCACCAAGGAGGAGGTAGGAGCACCAAGGCAGGGCCCTCCCCATGTCTTCTCCTTTTTAATGTTTCTAACATTTATTTATTTGAAAGGCAGAGTGCCATATATATAGAGGGGGGAGGGGAGGAGGGAGGGAGAGGGAGAGAGGGAGAGAGAGAGAGAAATCACCCATTCGCTGGTTCACTCCCCAAATGCCCACAACAACTCTAGCTAGGCCAGGCTGACACTAGGAGCTCCTACCCTGTCTCCTCAGGTCTTCCGAGGAAGCTGGATTGGAAGTGTGGAGCAGCCAGGACCTGAGCCAGCACTGCGGTACAAGATGTAGCATCCCAAGCAGCAACTTACCTGCTGTGCCACACAGCCCACGCTATCAGCCAACTCCTCGAAGTTTTAAAACCCAGAAGCATCAAAGAAGCCGGGAAGAAAGGGGAGCAGGGAGAAGAGACGGGCTTGGCTTCCCGTGTGGGCAGAGCTGCCTCTGCGCTTCTTCCCGGCGGCTTGCACAGGGGCTGGGGCTGGGAGAGAGGCTCCAGAGGTCACAGAGCTGGACACAGAGCTGGGGCCTGGAGGGACACCTGCAGCTGAGGCTTTAGCCAAACCTGCTCACCTCCCCGGGGCCAGTTTTCTGTCTCATATGAGATGGGAGGTCCCTCCCCTGCTGCTGGGAGCCTTGCTTGCGGGCCCCAATCCTGGACTTGTCCAGGACACCACACAGGACTTGCTGATTTTCATCAGAAGAAAAGAATCACCGAGAACCCTGTGCAATGCTAAGAAACACCTGCCCCGCACAATTCTGGCCAGAGCAGGATACAGTAACACACAAGGAAGAGCAGAAGCGGAAGGCACGGGGCCGTGGGACCAGCACCGGGCCAGGGCAGCAGCTTCAGCCAGGGAGGCTGGCGCAGCACCCGGACCCCAGACAGGCTGCTCTGCCCATCTCTGCGTCCCCTCCAGGGAATCGACTCTGCGCGCTACATGAAGTCACGTGTGCCAAGTGCTGTAGCCCAGCCGGGACCACCACTGCCTGCTGAGTGCTGGCCGTGGCTTCCCCTTTACCCAACCCTCACCCCTCTCTTTATCAAGCCACCCTCCCACCGCCACCTCTCAAAGATCCCGCCCAGATTCAGGGTGTTTTGTCCTGGTTTTCAGTCTACCACCCTTTTAACTGAGTGTCGACGTCCATGAACAGCTGTAGAATTCGTGCCTGAATGCCTCCAGGGTACCACCGCCACCTCCTCTTAACAAGCACACAGGCAAGCGAGGCGACCAAAACCCTGTCCCAGGTCACGGATCTGGACAATGCCGTGGCTGGGACGGCAGCCCAGAGTCTTGCCTGTTCGAGACACGTTCTTTGTCCTCCGTGCCACACTATCGTGGGATACACAAAGTGCCTCCCCATTTTCCACGGCAGTTCTAATCCTGGCCGGTGTCTCGTCTGTGCCAGGGTCGGACCCTCACACCAAGCCTGCAGTCCTGAGACTTCCCGACCCGCTGAAGCAATCATTTACTCAGAGACGCAGCCTGGAGGAGGCAGGGCAGTGAGTCGGGGGAGGTGGGGGCGGGGGGCAGGGGGGAGGAAGTGCTGAGTCAGTTCTCCAGCAGCGGTACTGATTAAAGGGGAGATGTGGCCTCGGCCCGAGAGCTCCTCTGTCACCAGCGACTTACCCATTTCTTTTCATGTGATCTGCGACACAATTACTAATTACTCTATAAAAGTTCCTATGTGTAGAATATTCCCTCTGTGAGGTACCTTAAAGTTCTTACACATTAGCTTGAAAATGGGGAATGAAGGGCTTACTAATTCAGAAAGGTCAAGATTTTTTCTTTCCCAAATCTTACAAAGAACCATCATCACCTAAGAACACAGAGACAAGTGTGCCAGAAGCAAAACCCAAATGAACCCTGATGTAGCTGCACAAGCCGAGTCCTTTCCCTACAGCAACCCGACTTCAATCACGTCTCCACTCTCCCCTTGAGGACCGGCTGACCGCCAAGCCCAGGGCGAGCCCACAAGGGGGCAGCCCCCAGGCCCCCAGGCCCCCAGCAGTGGCACAAAGGTGCAGTGGGTTAAGCCACCGCTTGAAGGCACGCTTGTATCCTATATGGGTGCTGGTTTGAGTCTTGGCCGCACCAATCCAACTCCCGGCTAATGTGCCTGGGGAGGGGCACTTGGGCCCCTGCCACCCACATGAGAGACCGGGACAGAGTTCCAGGGCCTGTGGCTTCAGCCTGGCCCAGCCCCAGCTGCCGTGGCCATTCATGCAGCAGATCAGCTCATGGAAGATCTCTCTCTCCCTCTGTCTCATTCTCTGTCTTTCAAATAAATAAGTAAATCTGAAAAAAAAAAAAGTAAACAACATCCTACAGGTAAACATACCTCTTTAAAGGGAAAAATTTAAATATTAGAATTTACTTTTCTAGGTCTTCTCCACCAAAGCATAACTGATTGACCCCCAATTCCTGAAGAAGCCCACGAGCAAATCCCCACACTGCAGAGCACCTTGAAAGGTGGTTACACCCCTCCCTAACGTGCCCAGCCACGTCCTAACCCCTGCCTTCCATCCCTGAGGTGCCGCAAACACATTTCCCTCACCCAGGCGTCTGAACGCCTTTGCCAGGTGATCTGTGAACAACAGCACTTTGTCCCAGTCCTGGAGGCTGCGCGTCCAGGGTCAAGGTGCAGGCTCAGCACCCGGCACCCGGCACCCGGCACAGGCTGTGTCCTCACATCACGGAGGCAAGGTGGCAGGGGAACAGCGTCCTCACCCTTCAGAGCCTCCCAGGTCCCACTCACCAGGACTCTGCCCTCACACCCACTTCTTAAGGCTATCACGTAGGCAATCTCGCTGCCACAGATGAGTTCTGGGGACACATGTAGACCACAGCAAGACGTGTTTCTCATTGCTCCCACCCAGGAGTGCACAGAGGAGGCCCATCACGATGGCGCGCAGTCCAGCCTGGCTCCACTCCCCACGCCACTCAGGCTGCCTTTCTCAAAGCCAACAGACTCTTCAGCTGCCGGAGTCATGGGCTACACCTGCTCTTTCCAGTGTTCTACACTCAGTGCTGGTTCCTTCCACGTTATCTCACTCATTCTGCTCAGGTAACCATCATTATCCCCACTTTAGACTGAAAACAAAGTGAGTCACAGGACAGAAGCAGCCTACCTCAGGTCAACAGCCAGGATGGCGCAGGAGCAGGGAGCTTTGACTGCAGTCCCATTCACAGCCTTCGCTCTTAACCACGATTCAGACCAATCTCTTGACAGAGAACTCTGTCGGGTCCACACGGAAATGCATTTCAGATCCACCCACTTCTTTCTCGCCTGGGAACCAAGCCAGCATCCAGTGTTGCCTGGATATGAAATCACCTCTTCACCGGCCTCCCCTGCTTTCCACTCTCTGTACTGTAGCCAAAATGATTTTTTAAACACTTAAATCAGAACACTCACCCTCCCTAGTCCCATTTCCTACACTCAGAACTCTTTCCTGGGATTTCACTTCACTTAGAATAAAATCGCAAACACTTCCTGTGGCCATAAGGGACTCCGCAACCCCCAAGCCTGGCTTCCTCCGCAAGCTCATCTTTTTCTTCTGAAAAACCCCGAATATGAGCCCCTCTTCCTTGCCACGGGGCCTCTGCCCACGCTGCCCCCACATGTGGACCACCTTTCCCTGGACCCTGGGCTGACGGAGTCCTCAAGTTTTAGGAGAAACTTCTTTTCCTCCGAGCTTCCCCCACCCCCCACCCCCACCCCCGCCCCCGGCCCGCCCCCGCCCCCACCTAAACTTGTTTTCTTCTGAGCGCACGCCATGAGCAGCAGTCGCTTTGTTTACTTGCTTGTTATCTGTCCCTGGACTAACATGAGGTCCTGAAAGACCAGTTCACTACTCTGTCCCCAGCACCAAGGACGTTGGAGATGACCCATGTTCCAGCCTGGCTCCGCCACCAACATCTCCTCCAGGGACCCAGCAGCTCACGTTATGTCGGGCAAGTCTTTACTTCTAACACCTTCAGTGGGATCATGATGTGTCTACACTGCAATGCTAATGTGAGGGCCCGGACATAACCCAGGTGAACGAGCCAGGGCCAGGCCAGGGCCAGGACTTCCACAGGAAGAACGGCTTCTTGGGAGGACCAGGAGTCCACATGCTCTAAGTTAGTGCTATCTTTCTAACACAGTGCATTTGTTATTCCCTTCATTCTGACATTCTAATTATTAATTGTTTCCCATTACTTTTTTTAAAGATTTATTTATATTTGAAAGGCAGAGTTACAAAGAGAGACAGAGAAAGAGATTGGTAATCCCATGGCTCACTCCTGCAAATGGCCACAATGGCCTGGGTTGAGCTGATTCAAAGCCAGGAGCCAGTAGCTTCTTCTGGGTCTCTCGTGGGTGCAGGGGCCCAAGGACGTGGCTGATCTGCTGCTGCTTCCTCAGGCCATTAGCAGGGAGCTGGATCGACAGTGGAGCAGCTGGGAACTTTAACTGGCACCATGTGGGATGCCGGTGTTGTAGGCGGCAGCTTTACCTGCTACACCACAGCTTCAGCCTGGCTCTGCCCTGGCCATTGTGTCCACCTGGGGAATGAACCAGCAGATGGAAGACCTCTCTCTCTCTCTAACTCTGACCTTCAAATAAATAAATCTTAAAAAAAAAAAAAAAAAAAAAAAAGACGCTGACGGGCACCTTAGCCTGCTCCACGCAGGGTTATGGTCAGCCAAGCGGCACCTGTGACTAGCAGAGACTCAGTTCTCCTCAGGGCCTTAGGGGCAGCTCCTGCGGGCACTGAAGAACTGTGGTGGCGACGCGTTCCCCCACTGCTCTCAAAGTCATCCCCCAGGACCACGCACTCCACAAAGCAGCACCAAGGGCTGTGCAGCTGTCAGCACACCCACGGCTGCCAACCAGAGCCCATCTCTGGGGCTCAGGTCACATGTCACACAGCACCGCCTCAGCTCAGGAGCCAGGGCACGCCTGTCCAAAGGGCGGCGCTGGAAGGCCCTGTGGAAGGCGTCACAAGTGGCCGCTTCTCTCCAGGCTGTCTGCTTCGGGTCACAAGGCCACAGTCGCCACCCTCCTTAAGGGAAGCACTGCTTTACCTGCAAGGCTGTGCACAGAACCCAGACGAAGTGCCAGGTACCATCTCCAGGTGGTCATTCTTCCACAGTACCCGCACCTGGGCAAGCCTGGGGGAAACACGAGGTCCACGAGGCAACGTGGGGGACAGGCAGTCCCTCAGGTCAGAATCCCTGACCTCAGATCACATGAAACCCGAGTGCAGAATCCAGCCAGCTGCGGATTCCGGGCCGCAGAGCACAGTGGGCGTGTGCACAGTGGCCTGGAGCAGCCCAGCTCCAAAGTCGTCAGCAGCAAGTCTGAGGAGCCACAAACAACACACAGAATGAGAAGCTTTTAATTTGTATCAACTTGTGACCTGCACTCATGGTGCAAAACAGAAAGAGTTTCTCTTTGCAGAAAATTAAAAGAAATAAGTAAGTAAGTGTGGATTTCAAAACTGCTCTGCCCAGACTCCAGCTTGATGCGAGGAGCTTACAGGACGTGAAGAGGGACGGCACTGGCCTCTCAAGGCCCCAGCCTCCTCACCCGGCCACACCCAGCACAGACGCTGTTTCCTGTTCTAAATTTACAGTGTGGTTCAGAATACTTGGACTTCTTCTATAAAATAGGAAATCTGAATTAAAAAACATTTTTCTTTTTTTTTATTTTTTATTTTTTTTTTTTGACAGGCAGAGTGGACAGTGAGAGAGAGAGAGACAGAGAGAAAGGTCTTCCTTTGCCGTTGGTTCACCCTCCAATGGCCGCCGCGGCCGGCGCGCTGCGGCCGGCGCACCGCGCTGATCCGATGGCAGGAGCCAGGAGCCAGGTGCTTTTCCTGGTCTCCCATGGGGTGCAGGGCCCAAGCACCTGGGCCATCCTCCACTGCACTCCCTGGCCACAGCAGAGGGCTGGCCTGGAAGAGGGGCAACCGGGACAGAATCCGGTGCCCCGACCGGGACTAGAACCCGGTGTGCCGGCGCCGCTAGGCGGAGGATTAGCCTAGTGAGCTGCGGCGCCGGCCCATTTTTCTTTTTAAAATGCAGTTTGTTGCACTGGAAAGTAACTTTCCCCACCCCAGGGCTACATGGTGCGACTTTCCCCTCAAAATCTGCGAGTGTTTGTTTTGATACCACATGGCTAACTCCATATTTTTAAAGGATTTTATTTATTTATTTGAGAGGAGATTTACAGACAGTGAGAGGGAGAGACAGAGAGAAAGGTCTTCCTTCCACTAGTTCATTCCCCAAATGCCTGCAATGACCGGAGCTGGACCCATCCAAAGGCAGGAGCCAGGAGCTTCTTCCAGGTCTCCCACACGGGTGCAGGGGCCCAAGCACTTGGACCATCTTCCAGTGCTTTCCCAGGCCACATCAGAGAGTTGGATCAGAAGAGGAGCAGCCAGGACTTGAACTGGTGCTCATATGGGATTCCTTTGCCACAGGCCGAGGATTAACCTACAGTGTCACAGTGCTAGCCCCAACTCCCTATTATATACTGGCCAGAATTCATTCCTCAAAGTCTCTGCAGCCAGCTTAATTGATTGCTACATAGGCATTTTATTTATTTTTATTTATTCATATGAGGGAGAGTGAGAGAGCTCCCGTTTGCTGGCTCAGTTCCCGAATGCTTACAACAGCTGGGGCTGTGCCAGGCTGAAGCTGGGAGCCAGGAACTCAGCTCGGGGCTCGCTGATGGTGGCAGGGGCCCGAGGACTTGAGCCTTACCACTGCTGCCCAGTGCAGGAAGCTGCAGTCAGGAGCCACGATGTGGCAAGTGGGGGTCCTAATTCCCAGGCAAAACACCCTCCGCAAAGTGCAAGGAGGACCTCCACTAATGAGTGGCAGCAACACAAGACAGAAGGTGTATAAATGCATGAACCAAGGGTGTCAAATCAGAAGGCTTGAGCCCCAGCCACACTCTCCAGGAATGGACTGGACATCCTCAGGTTTTAATCATCAGGAAAGCCTGCTTGTTTATTCTCTGGCTTCTGCTCTTCACTGAAAATCCAAGGCTGGCACCTCTGGCTGGATCTCATCACTTACCTGACATGTGCTTCTGGTCTAAAGTGAGTGCTCTGGGGCCGGGGCTGTGGTGTAGCGGGTAAAGCTGCCGCCTGTAGTGTCGGCATCCCATATGGGCACTGGTTCAGGTCTCAGCTGCTCCACTTCTGATTCAGCTCTCTGCTAGGGCCTGGGAAAGCAGTAGAAGATGGTCCAAGTCCTTGGACCCCTACACTCATGTGGGAGATCCAGAGGAAGCTCCTGGCTCCTGGCTTTTGATCGGCATAGCTCTGGCTGATGGGGCCAGCTGGGAAGTGAACCAGCAGATGGAAGACCTCTCTCTTTCTGCTTCTCCTCTCTCTGTGTAACTCTTTCATATAAATAAATAAACCTTTAAAAATGAATAAATAAAGTGAGCATGCTGTACTGAGGTCTGTGTGCAGCAACACTAAACTCAGAAATTCAATATTAAGTTACACGCTGCAGGAAAATCTACAATTGGAAAATCCTGCCGAAACAGGAATCTCAACAGCAGAGACTCTGTGTCCCCAAAAGTCAGGCCTAGAAGTGACTCCTGGATGTGTGACAGCTGGCACTTCCTATAGGGACGCATCCTAGCAAGGGTTCTGCCAGGGTGGCAGGACTCAGCACATAGGCAGGGGGATGAGGAAGCAGGAAGATCATTCAGCTCACTGGATATCCGAGCAAACGTGTTTGCCAACTGTATACAGAACAATCTGAGAAAATGCATATACCAACTGTACAAAACAATCAGAGCAAACTGTATGCCAATTATATACAGAACAATCTGAGCAAATGTGTGTACCACTGTATACCAAACAATCTAAGCAAATGTGTGCACCAACTGTATACCAAACCATCTGAGCAAATGTGTATACTAACTGTATACAAAACAATCTGGGCAAACATATATCAACTGTATACAAAAAAATCTGAGCAAACATGTAAACCAACTGTATACAAAACAATCTAAGCAAATGTGTGCACCAACTGTATACCAAACAATCTGGACAAATGTGTATACTAACTGTGTACCAATCAGAGCAAACTTGTGTATCAACTGTATAGAAAACAATCTAAGTGAACATAGACACCAATTGTATACCAATCTGAGTAAACATGTACCAAATGTATACCAATCTGAGTAAATGTCTATTCCAACTGTGTTCAAAACAATCAAACCAAATGTGTATGCCAATTGTATACAAAA